CCTGAGAATTTACATAGCAATGGTATCTGTCAGGTTAGGACAGAAACAGTCCATAAGTACGGAATTCTAGTTTAAACATTTTCTCTGTTGAAATGGCGCACTACAATTCTGAATTACTTTCTATGTATCTCACCTGAGTAAATACACTGAGGCCAGCGACGCCAGCTTCTCACTGTAAGAGGGAGAACAGTTATGAGAAGGAGATTCCCAGAACACATCCTTTAGGCTGAAACGCATACATGGTGTTTGAAAACACGGGTTTAGATGTCTGTATGTATGTACATGCCAACGGGAGGAGCCAAAAGCAGAGACATGCTAGTGCCACTGAGCAAACCTAAGGCCTGGTCTGAATGCCACACTGCTTGATAAGGATGCGGCGAGGCAGGAAGGGTTGCTGTGGCAGAAAGGGGAAACTGCTCAAGAATGGCGGAGACATAGAGGAGAACACGAGCGGGCTGAGGTGTTGCTCGGTGATGGGGCTCTTGTCTAGCACACACAGTGCTGGGCATGCCCAGAGCTCTCTGACCAATATGTCGACCAATCAGCAAGCCACTCAGTGAAAGATAAGGGGGGTGGTACAGGAGGAAGATGCCTGACCCTGCCCCCCCCCCATATTATTGGGACAAATCACAAAATTTGAGAATAAATTATGAATTAACTCAAACTTTCCTAGTTTTCTTGGTTCATGGTGTTTTTAAAGTCTCTCTCTCTCTCTCTCTCTCTCTCTCTCTCTCTCTCTCTGTGTGTGTGTGTGTGTGTGAGTGAGTGTGTGTCATGGCCCAAAGAAACACCTAGGTGCAAGCAAGTCATTAAGTACTGATATCCTAATAATTTAGTAGTCACCTAAAACTATGTGTAAATGCAGCAAGCACTGAGTACAGCGCTGTTCCTTCTTTAAAACCACAATTACCTGAAAACGCGGCTCGGTATGACAGCTATAAGGGATGTGGCGCCATCTACTGTTGGGATTGCAAACAGCACAAAGCAGCATTTCTGCAGTTTTTGTTTTGTATTCATTTTGTTTACCTTGAAAATTTAGAACCCTACGGATAGACCTCTGTGAATTCACTGTGGGAAGTGGAGACCTCAACGTAGCTTGAGATTCATGGGGTCATATATTCATGCTGTTTAAATGTTGAATTTAAAAATACCTTTTACATTTTATTTTGTGTGCCTGTGTGCCGTGTGTGCCTGTGCCACAGCGTCTGTGTGGAGGTCAGAGGGCAACCTGTGGGAGCTGGTTCTCTCCTTCCACCACGTGGGTCCTGGGGATTGAATTCAGGTTGCCAGATTTGGCAGCAGGCACATTTACCCACTTTGGCATCTTTCTGGCCCTGTATCGCCTGACATTGATACATGTATCATTGCTATGTAAGATACAGTTCCTGTTCTCAGAAATACATATTGAAACATTTGTGGATTTAAAAATTCTGCAAATTAATTTCAAATGACTGAGAAAATGTGCACATAGGTACAGACAGGGAACCCAACCCATTTAGCAAATGGGCTGAGATGTTTAACAACTCAGGTGCTACAAAGAGCTCTAAGATTTATTTCTGTGCCGTTCCTAAAATTATTCTTCATTAAATTATTTCAAAATAATGTTAATTTAATTTATTTAGTTTTTGATTTTTCGAGACAGGGTTTCTCTGTGTAGCCCTGGCTGTCCCGGAACTTTCTCTGTAGATCAGGCTGGCTTCGAACTCATGGACATCCATCTGCTTCTGCCTCCGTGTGCTGGGATTAAAGGCGTGTGCCACCACTGCCTGGCTCAAAATACTTGCAGAGATGAAATGCAACACTAAATTTTAAACTTCATAAAATGTGCATTTAAGCATTTCTAACGTCTGGACATTGAAAGCGCTAGTGTAGGGAGCTACGAGCTTTTGTGGAGGAGGCGGCAAGGACTGGGAGAGACGCACGTGGTGACAATGATGTTTTACTTCGGTATCTGGGGAGCAGACAGTCGAGTATTCATTTCTTCCCTTTCCCCCTTCCTTTATTTTTTTGAGACAGGGCCTCGCCATTAGCTCTGCCTGTCCTCGAACTCACCATGTAGACCAAGTTGGCCTTGAACTCACAGAGTCACTCGCCTCTGCTTCCTAAGTGTTGGAATTAATGCTACCAGGTACCATTCATTCTTTTTGAGACAAGGTCTCACTATATGCCCCTTTCTGGTCAGGAACTTAACAGAGACCAGGCCAGCCTCAAAACCTTCGAGATCTGCCCACTTCAAGGTGCGTGTCACCATGCCCAACTCATTTCTCCTTATACCCCAAATATTTCAAATTTATTTTTTTAAAATACTTATTTAAAGGGCTGAGAACACAGCTCAGTTGGGAGTGTGCTTGCACAGCACACTCAAAGCCCTGGGTTCAGATCCCTGGCACCACATAAAGCCACGTGTGGTGGCAGATATCCTAGGACTCAGGAGGGGAGGGAAGCAGGACCCGAAGTTCAAGGTCGTCTTCTTCAGCTGTGTGAATTTGAGGCTGACCTGTGTTACATGAGACTGTGTCAAAAAAAAAATAGTAGACTCTTTATTACTATATTTAAAAAAAACACAAGTAAACTTAAGCAGACAGCTGTTTGCAGAGAGACACCCAGGTACAATGCCCCCAAATTTGTGGATTTCATAGCCATGCACTGAACTATTTGCAGACTCAACATATTTAGGAGAAAAAAGAATGCATTTGTACTGAAGACAAACTTTTTCCTTTTCACTATGGTGTAGCAACTGTCTACACAGCATTTACACTGTATTAGTTGTTATCAATAATCTAGAGACAATTTAGAGTGTACGAGGAAATGTGTCTAGACTGTACGCAAGTGCTGTGCCATTCTACATAAGGCACTGGAGAGTCACAGATTTACAGATCTCCAGGGGCCCTGGAGCTTCGTCCTCAGTCACGACTGTACTCATTCATCATCTCCTACAGTCCTTCCCATGGCCGCATGTTACATGCCAGTTATCAGAATAGGTTGTATCTTTTTTAAAGCATTTACTATTTTAAATTAAACATGCTTGACAACCGACTTAAAACAAGAACTGACAACTCTAGCCTTCACTCTGTCTTTCCAAACATGCTTTACAATGTTTAAAGCCTATGGGTAGCAGAAGCAATGCTACCTTCACCTTTGGGATTACTAAGGAATTGGCAACCATCTCTTCCCAGGGCACAAGATAACCATTTGCCAAGTTCTGTTTACATCTGTAGCTGAAATCACTGACTTAAAATAAAAAAGTACGGTGTCAGTCGGATTGATTTCAGATCTCTGAGAATAACAAATTATCATAGAATTTATGATTCAACCTTATCTTATGTCAGCTCAGGGGAAAGAGAACGGATTGCTATGTGAAGGGTGGATGTCAGAGGCTGTCAGAGGAGGAACCGAAGAGATTAAAGGTTTAATCCTCCACCCTCATTAGCTGAACAAATGTAAGTCACATTCAGCCTGAGTTTTCCTCCCCAGGAGGGGGCCATTAGACCTATGCCAGAGAGGAGCAAACTAAAACCCCTGCCTCTGCTCCAAACGGCAACTCCGTTTTTCAGCTAGTCTTGCCTAAGGTCCTTTTCCAGAACCACGGTCTGGCGCTCTCTTCTCATCTCCTGACACCACCTTCTTAGACGAGCAAAAGGAATCTTGCAGGTGACCCTCTAACCTTGCATGCTGTCTGCAGATTGAAGTAACAGTCCATTAAAAATGCAAGGGTAGTGGAAGAAGACAATTATGAATTAAGCATGTAGGGGTGTGTGTGTGAGAGAGAGAGAGAGAGTGAGAGAGAGAGAGAGAGAGAGAGAGAGAGAGAGAGGCTATTCCCTAAAGGGCAACAACAGAGAATGAAAACTATTTACATTGTTTAATAGCATTTACTTTGTATTGGGTAGCTATGCTGGCTAGTTTTATGTCAACTTGACACAAGCTAAAATCTTCTGAAAGGAGGGAACCTCCTCCATAACATCAGATTGTAGACAAGTCTGTAGGGCATTTTCTTAATTCATGATTAATGGGTGGTGCCATCCCTGGGCTGCTTAGTCCTAGGTGCTATAAGAAAGCAGGTTGAGCCTGGGGGTAGGGGGTGGGGATGGGGTGGGGTGGGTGGTGGTGGCATACACCTGTAACCCTAGCACCCTGTAATCCCAGTACTTGGGAGGCAGAGACAGGCGGATCTCTGGGAATTGGAGGCCGGCCTGGTCTATAAGAACTAGTTCCAGGATAATTATAACTGTTATACAGAGAAACCCTGTTTTGAAAAACAAACAAACCCCCCAAACCAAAAAAAGGTTGAGCAAGCCTGGAGGAGTAAGCCAGTAAACCGAGCTCTTCCATGACCTCTGCCATCAATTCCTGCCCTAATCTCCTTTGATGATGAATAATATGAAAGTGTAAGGCAGGTTAATTTCCTCCCCAAGTTACTCTGGTCATGGTGTTTCTTCACAGCGATAGTAACCCAAAGACAGAAGTACAAGTAACACAGAGGTGACTTAAAGGAGGCTGAGAACATGCATATGTTTCATAAAGATTATATATTTATTTTTGTTTCTCTGAAACAGGATTGTACCATATAGCCCCTCTGGTCTTGAAAACATAGAGACCCGCTTGCCTCTGCCTCCAGGATGATAACATTTGCCTGGACACTCTGCTAATTACACCATCTCTATGTGACTGGAACATTCGCAGAATCCACTGCGATCCTGGGAGGTCAGTCCCCTTCAGAAATTGAGGGGTTACTGTAATGACGGAGAAAGAAAAAAAAAAAAAAGGCCATAGTTTGCTTAAAATTCTTGGCGTGACTGGGCCTTACACTAAATTTCAGAAACTCCCCGTGACAGTTACTCTTCTTTTTGCCACTAAGTGCAGACTAACCCTGGGCCAAGCAAAGAAGCCCCGATCTCCAGGTGTCACCCACGTCGCCCTGGCCCTCCAGGACCCGGAGACCCAGTCCTCCCAAGCCCCGCAATGACGTCACGGCGCGCTGTCATCGCGAGACTCCGCTCGCCCTCCGCGGCTCGCCGCTTCCCAACCGCCCGCGACGGTCCGAGGCCAGGCAGCGGTGGGGATGGCGAGCCGCGGAGCTAGGGCGGTGACGAGCGCAGCGGCTCCGCCATTGGGCAAGGAGGCCTGAGGGACGGGCTGGCTGGGTGCATAAGGACACCGGAACCGGCAGCCTCGGCAGAGCGAGGGCGATGGAGGCCAACGTGCCGCCGAAGCGGAAGGAGCCAGCCAAGTCCCTCCGCATCAAAGTCATCTCCATGGGCAACGCCGAAGTGGGGAAAGTGAGTAGCGCTTGCTGCGAGGGGCGGGGCCGCCGCTTGCCGGAGAGACATGCTCATTGGCTGAGAGAGTAGCCACTCAACAGCCCGAAGCCCCGCCTTATCCCTGCTCCGGGAGCATCCCTGTGCTCACCTGGGCCTTGCAGCTTCCAGAGGAAAACTACCTTGACCTTTTTGACCTTTGGGTCGCACGCTCTTTACTAACGTCACCCCCCACAAGAAGGTGCCTGGGGTGGCCTCTGACCTTTGACTATATTTCGAAGGTAGTAAAGAGGCCTAGGTCCCAAATTTATAGCTTAAATATCAAATTTGCTTTCCGAGAGAGGGGTCCAAGACATGAAGGTGGGGGAAAGTCATTGCCTCCTAGCTGTGGCGTTTAAAGGGATGTCTGTGATAGATTCAGAAAAATGTCGCCGGGCACAGTGACATTCCCATCACCAGAACATAACAACCTACTGCGTTTCAGGGACCATGCCCTGACCGCCCAGGATCTTACGTTGTTTTTGTTTTAAATTTCTCATGCTGTCAAGTCATTTTCGCAGAGAAGCCTTTATTCATTCATTCATTCTTTCATTCATCTATCTGTCTTATCTATCTATCTCTTTGTTTATTTATTGGACCGTCTTTCTGTGTGTTCCATCTGCTGCATATTAGCTATTAAACTTCCTCTCCGATGGGCAGTGGTGACCTAAGACTTTTCCCAAATGAATTCAGATGCTTGTTCTTACTCAAGTTTTCTCAACAGGGGAAGCTGTTGGTTAAGAATCCCAAAGTGGGCAAATCAGTGACAGGGAGCGGGATTGGAAGCAGAGTCTGCACTCTCCCAAATGTGGAAGACCTACTAATGGGAGTATTTAAACCAGTACACTGCACTTAGAAGATGTTCAGTGAATATTTATTAGTGCTTTACTGTTTAGCTCCCCCCTCTACTACTTAGGTATTGTTGTGAACGTGTTAACCGAACCTTTGTTGAAATTTAACGTGTAATGACTATTAACTATATTTCAACTCTGGTTTACAAAGCAAAGAGAGTTGGGAGAGTCAGTGCTGGGCAAGCACGGAAAACAGGTCTATGCGTAGAACCCTGCAAAAACCTGAGCTAGTGGCACAGGTTTCTGAATCCTAGTGCTGGGCAAGCAGAAACAGGTGGATCCCTGGCCCTCACTGACCAACTATTCTAGCCGAGTCAGTGAGCCGCAGGTCCCAAGAAAGACCTTGCCTCGCCAGGTGATGGTGGCATATTTTTAAAAATATGCTGTCGAAATTAACATATATATAAAAAGACACGAGGTCCGTGGTGAATGGGAATGTTGGGTCAGATCCTAGCACACCTTTGAAAACTGGCACGACCTTTGGGGTCCATTGTCAATGCAAGAAGTTGGATTGAATATTAATAAGAGTCGCTGAGAAACATCAAGTTTCCCACATGGAAAGGAATAAGCCCTTGGGGTTGGGGTGGGCTGCTGCCAGAGCCCTTACTGTGTAAGCCTGGTGACCTCATTCAGCCCCCAGAACTCATGGTAGAAGGAGAGAACCTTTATCCAAATTTCCAATTGTCCTTCAACATAGGGCACATACATAACACACACACACAATCAAATTGGAGGGAAAAAAGAAAAAAGATATTGGAAATAACCCTTTTCTTCCCCAAAGATTAAAAGCCATAAAAAAAATCTTGAATAAAAATGCCTTAATGAGGGCTGAAGAGAGAAGCTAGTTCAGCTGTTAGAAGCACTTGCTACTTCTGCAGAGGACCAGTATGCAGCTCCCAGTACCTGTGTCAGATTGGGTGGCTCCCAACTGCCCGTATCCCAGCTCAAGGGGAGCTAACGGCCTATACTGTATTGTGTTGCCACCTGCAGTCACATGTGTATACAGCCACAGACACACAGATATACACGTAATTAAAAATAAGATTTAAATTCAAAATAAAAGCCTTGTTGTGATGTAAGTCCCATAGAAATCACTTATTTAAAATATACAACGCGCTGGTTTTCAGTTCACTCACAGCTGTGAAACCGTTACCATCATCAGTTGTAGAGCGTTTTCATCATCTCCTGAAAAAAAGTGTAGCTATTAACAGACTCCCCCTGTTTCCCCTAACCATTAACCCACTTCCTGCCTCTGTGGATTTGCCTGTTCTGGCTATTTCGTATGAATGGAGCCACATACTGCATGCTCTTTTACTACAGACATCTTTCACTTAGTGTAATGCGTATAAGGTGAATCTTTGTTGTGGTATGTTTTAGTATGTTCTTCATATCGTAGAAATACATTCCATCATGTAGATGTAATACATTTTATTCATCCATCTGGGTTGTTTTTGTTTTTGGATACTGGTACTTAGGGTAATGATAATGTGGACTTGAAGACTTAGGCCTTGAATCCAATATGACTTTAGAGTAGATGCTCAGACATGTGGATCTGGTCCTGGACGGCTAGATGTGGCTATTTGTGTTGAAAGTGGGAGGGTGGGGAAGGTCTGCAGAAGGAAAGAGCAGTGATTGAAATAAAACCAGAAACATCGTATTTAGTATGAAGGTAAGAATAAAATTCTTTTCTTTAAGCTCTTCACTTGTGGCCTGGTTGGTGGCTCACGCCTTTAATCCCAGCGCTAGGGAGGCAGAGATGTGAGGCAGCCTGATCTTCATAGTGAGTTCCAGGTCAGCCAGGGATGAGACCTCCTCAAAACAAACAACAAGGAAACCCTCACTTTTTATACTTGTTTCAGATGCCTTTTATTTTTTTTGTCTTTTGGGGATTTGTTTTATCTTTGAGGTCTCGTGGTTGAGGCTGGCCTCGATCTCCTCATTGTTCTATTTCTCTTTCTCGAGTGCTGCAGTCGCAGGCACCCTCTGCCACGTCAGCTCGTCTCTGCATTTGAGAACACTTTCATGTTCCCTAATGAAGAAATGTACTTACTTTACACATCTTTCCAGTGTGTATTACTAAATGCGTCATTCTTATCCTTCTAGAGCTGCATTATAAAGCGCTACTGTGAGAAGAGGTTTGTGTCTAAATACCTGGCAACAATTGGAATTGACTATGGAGTCACAAAGTAAGTATACTGTTCCTCTGGCCTGTGCATAAGGCAGGTACTCAGAGTGTGTCCTGAGAGAGTCCGAATCTGCATTAGAGCGTATGCATGGTTGCATTGAAATAGAGGCTTTGAAGATAAACTGGGAAGGATGGGGTAAGGGACTTGTTCAGGTATCTGGTGCCATCTTTTCAGCTGACCAGTGTCTTAGGTACCTGCTAGTTCAGACCTGGTTTTAGATGTGGGCCTATCTGGCACTGGGGCGTCTGAGGACGGATTTCTGTGTAAGCAGGTCCTACCAGCAAGTGGGCTTTTAGGCTGCTTTGTCTTTTGTTGGTTTATGATCTTGTTGGAATCCAACAGATTTGAGAATAATGAATTTGGGGATAAGTGGGAATTTATTTGGAGTGAATCTAGAGTGGCTGGAGAGAGGATTAAAGCAGCAAACAAAACAAAACAAAAGCAAAATAACAACGAACTTAAAAAATGCCACCAAAGAATAGAATTGGGGTAAACAGCCTATTTCTCCCCCCACCTTTTTTTTTTTTGAGACAGGATTTCTCTTTGTAGCTTTGGAGCCTGTCCTGGAATTCACTCTGTAGACCAGGCTGGCCTCAAACTCACTGAGATCCGTCTGCCTCTGCCTCCCAAGTGCTGGGATTAAAGGTGTGCGCCCCCACTGCTCAAAAACAGCATATTTCTTCGACATGGAATTTCAGGCTTTACTGTAGAAAGCTTGTGCTGCTTGTATCTGTTTATTATCCCTGATTTTGAGACAGGGGTATTCTTTTTTTGCTAACATTTTTATTTATTCTTTGAAAGTTTTATATGTTTGCATAATGTATTTTGATCATATCCACCCACCATTACCTCCATATGTGCATGGATGTGAGGCCATTCACTAACATGGGCAACCTACCAGTGGCCACATTCTCAGAAGGTGGTCACTCTCCTTCCCTCAGCAGCCGTCAGCTGCCTGCCAGTAGCTTCTCCTACCAAGGACAGGGCCCCAAAGGTTCTCTATCCGTGCTGGAATTTTGACTCTCTTGACCTGGCCTTGTCCAGGTGACACTAGTTCTGTGAGTTGGGTGTGTAGCTGCCATGTCATAACCAAAGTCAACATTTCACATCTTTGTTTCCCACCTGCCATTTCTTACATTCTTTATGCCACCTCTTGCTTTTTGGTCCCTGAACTGGCTTAGTCGAGGCTGATAAAGAAGATTCATCCGTAATTAAGCATTTATAGTTATCCTTCGCACTTTGACCAGTTAGCATTTCTGTATTGACCGTTACCCATTACAAGAAGCTTCTCTGACCAAAGATGAGAGCCACACAGGTCTATGGTGAGTATTGAGAAGGCAGTTTGACATCATGACCTTTGAACAAAACACTAGTTCCTCCTCATCTGTCTTCTCCCGGCCATAGCTTTTGACCAGGTTTACAGTATCAGGCCTGAAATCCCTCCTGTGGTAGGCTGGATATCCTCCTAGCTGCCATGCCAATATTACGCCATGGACATATCTTACCAGACAGGTTGATTTTGTAGCATGTAGGGTCCACCACTGGGGAAGATCATGACCTTTCTCCCCTAGCATCTTCTGATACTATGTAAGCTAGCCAGGAGGAACGGAATTTCCTGGTCAGTCAAGATTGATTTTTTTATGTCCTGCATCCAAAGTGAGTACTGTAAGAAGAATTTTTATGTTTTCTCCAAATGTCCAGTATAGTGCTTCTCCCTGGTGACTGCTTGGTAAATATTGTTAGAGAGATGTACTTAAAGGTGAAAATTTTCCCTATCAGATTATGAAGGTAATATTCAAGGAGTTCAATAAAATTGATGAGGTATATCTGTAACAGAATGTCAATTGTATGAAGGACAGGGTCAAGTTTATGTATGTCCTTCCAGATTGTATTAAAGTAGTTCAGGTCAGTGGGATCTAGGAGTTCTATGTAAATTCTCCGCCATTTTTCAACTGAGAGCCGCAGAAGGTGTTTTGCACATTCTCTCTAAAATGTAAAACTTGTAGCTCTTGGCTGTGAAAGTTATGAAGGCCTTCATTTGAAATACACATTTCTTTCTACTTTTCCTTCCCATTTTCTACTTCCGAGCATAGTCATCAGTGATGTGGTGGGTCATCCTATTTAAGGCAGCTTTGTTCAGAATCCATATCAATGCTTAGTTTATCTAAGAAATGGAAATTGCTGTATAATACCATGGAATTGTAACTTATTTATTTATTGAGACAGGGTGAATTGGGCTTACCCAATAGACTATTCTCCTTCTTACAGATTTTTTTTAGAAAGATGATTATTCCCTGATAAGTATTGTGAAAATTCCTTCCCAAGGGAAACATAAGCCATGTTTACCCCTCTTCCCAAGATCTCAATGACAAACCAAGGCAAGATTCCACCTAGGGAACCAGTGCGTTTCTTTGGCTTACAGAGCATAGGTGAGGGGTCACCTGTGGTGTGGGTACTCCTCTTCCAAAAGGTTGCAGTAGAAAGTCTACCAGCTGGAGAGGGCTTCCCCATGGCTGCACAAATTACACCCCTTGTTGTCCCCTGTGTTCACAGCCTGTATCTCTATCCCTTCCCCAAGGCCATGTGCAATTAAGATGGTGGGGAGTGACTGGATACTCTGATGAGGTTCTCATGACCCTCTCCCCACTCCCCACTCCCCACCCCCCTGGGACATAACCAGTCACCAAGCTCAGGTGGGATCAGCCTTTTGCAGTTGGGAGCAGCTGTTGGTTCAGGGTGTGGACTGAAATATCTGCAGTGGGAGATGGGTTCTTAGTCAGGGCTCAGTGTTCAAAGCAAGGCAAAAGGCTTCTCTTGTAGACTATCCGGAATGTTGGGCAGTGGTGGCTCAAAAAATGAAAGGATTATCTGGAATTAAGAAGAGGAGGAAGAAAGCTTCTGGAAATGTGACCTGTTTCCTTTTGAAATTCATAAATAACAAATGTCAATGCAAAAATACAACCTTTGAGATGGTCTCTGAATATTTCAGGGTCCAAGTCAGAGACAGAGAAATCAAGGTCAACATCTTCGACATGGCTGGACACCCCTTCTTCTACGAGGTAAGAAACCTTATATCCTGTCTTGACGCTGGAGACAGTGGAAGTTAGTTCAAATTGCGTGTAAAGTGTCACTCACGTTGGCGGCTTGCCTTCTGAGCCTCGACTTAGTGAATATTCTTTGATCACCTATGCTTTCCTAGAATCGAGATGGGAAGTTTCATGGCTAGTGTTTCAAATATTTGTCTGAAGAAGACATTTCCACTTTAAGAGGGTGCTGGCCTTTCACTTCAGACCTCAACCCAGAGTGTGAGCGGATAATGATCACATTCCCTGTGGTTGTAACAGCTCAGCAAGGGCCCTGCTTTCACAGCAGGGCTATGACCTTCCCATCACTCCCCAGCCATGGAATAAGGCAAAGCAGCCCTGCTTGGTTTATATTCGGCGGTGTGGCAGGCCCTGGACGAGTCATGCACTCTCTGCTGGTGACCTGTTTGCTGGCTTGGCCACTTCACTTTAGCCCTTGTCTTTGTTATTTCCTGCTCTGTGCTTGCTTTGCTTTATTTTGCTCTGGGTTCTGGGATCTTGTAGAGCCCGAGTTGCCAGTTGCAGACTCTTCTGTGTGCTGAGTGCTGTGGATTCTCTCCTCGGCGTTGCCTCGTGTGTCCACAAACGCCAAGATGATGTTCAGTGGATCTTTTTAGGGCTTTTTTGTTTGGACTTTTCATAGTTTGAATCCTTGAATCTATAAGTTATAGCCTTTAGCACGTTTGGACATATTCAGTCATCTTTTTCTTTCTTTCTTTCTTTCTTTCTTTCTTTCTTTCTTTCTTTCTTT